GTTGCTAAAGCTAGTTTTCAACTTGGAATTTTCCTGTCTCAGCCTCCAAGTTACTGGCATTACAGGCATGAACCACAATACTCAGCCATAATGGCAGAATTCTTAGAAGTCTAACTGGACATTGGATAGATTGATTAGAATTTAAAATGTAGGGATGTGATTGTGGCTCATTCGTAGAGCACTTGCCTAGCATATGCAAGGCCCTGGGTTTGATCTCCAGGTTTTTGGGTTTTTTTTTTAATAAAGTGCAGAAAGAATACATATGTGTCAGTATTCTGATCTCTGGTTATGACTCTAAAAAGGCAAGAAAATGATACAAAATTTCCCTACCCCTTCTAAAATGTGTAGTATTAATACAGTTTTACCTTGTATTTATACAAGTAATTTTTATAGCTAAGTTGTAGTAAACTTTGCTTCCGTCTTAATTTTGCATACATTTTTTTTCAGGAAGTTTATGTAGCTCAGTGCAAGGTAGGAAAGATTAGTGTTTACAGAAGAGAATTCTTGAATGATTTTCAAAGCCCAGGAAGGAGAATTGAGCATAAATGCCAAAAACATTTCTTGGATGGACTTAAAGTGCATTGTTGTATAGTTAAGACATAAGCTGATAGATCTGTTTAGTTAATGTAAGAAAACATTTGCTATTTGTAAAATCCAGATCTCTTAATCTAGAAGATCAATTCTTATTTAAAGCTCACATATTCCTTAAAGTAGATTTATCCATGGCAAAAGTAAATACATTTTGATTAATAGAGATGAAAGATTTTCACTTTGAGAATATTTTGGCCCTTAAAAATGGTAGATTTTAAGAATGTGACTCAGTGGTGAAGCACTTGCTTCTCATGCATGAGGCTCTGAGTTTGATCCCTAACACCACTTTAAAAAGCAAAAATGGTAGAATTTAGTGTATTGTTAAAGTATTTACAAAAAAGATAAATAAAACAAAGGAATTCATATTAGTCCATCATAACTCATAACTAAGAATACTAGGATAAGCAATCAGGTTTTCTATCTATTTTTCTAGATATTTATTTGAACTTCAAAATTTTAAGTAAAATTATGTTTTTGTTGTAAACAGATTTGTTGGTGTTACCTAAGTATATTTCTATGGTGTTTCTACATAACATTTTCTTATTTATTGCTGAAGTTAATTATGAAAATTGTCTGAATTATATATTCTCATTTTTATTATGAAATAATGGGTCTTTATAATAGCTTTTTAATTTAAATGGAACTAAAACCTATATTACCTGTTACCTCAAAGAAAGAATTAAAGCATGAAGCAAAACATAAAACTAATTTTTAAGTAAATTATAAACATACTACATGTGATAATTAGTCTTTCTCTTACTCTTGATTTCTTAAAATAAAATATCTAGACTGTTAATACCACTAAAGTAATGATTTCTAAAATTATTATATTCAAACCAGAAGAGAATTATTGAGTATCCTTTTTTTTTAATCAACTTGAGCACAAAATACTAAGTAGCTCAAGGGGCATTTTATATGGGGGTAAGGGACAGTATATATATTTTGCTGCTTTCATTCAAAAGCCATTATATAAAGTTTATATAACAAAAGCCAGATATAATGTGCCATTTCAGTGTAAGTTACAGAAACAAGTCAGTCTATTATTAATATACTTACAGAATATTTCAGAGGTTATTTGGTGTTAAAAAAAAAGAAAACATTAGTTCAGGGACTAGAGTTGTGGCTCAGTGATAGAGCGCTTGCCTAGCATGTGAGGCATTGGGTTCAATTCTCAGCACCGCATATAAATAAATAAAATAAAGGTCCATTGACAACTAAAAATGTTTAAAAAAAATTAGTCTGCTTGTAGGATATATTTGGAAATAAAGCAATTCTAGTATTTCTAAGTCATTAAATATGATGAGAGTGAAGGTTCCAGTCAGATGACTAGAATTGTTTGTTTAATAGGGTACCGAACTTCCTGTCAATGGGGCCCTAATTAGTGTGTTAGTTGGTTTCAGCTGTTTCATGCCGTATGTATAGAGAAAGCTACCATATATAGGACCCATTATATCCCCTAATTGTTCTTAAACCCCACTACACAGTCATCCTAAGAGCCCTTGGTTAAATTAGAATGGTGCCCAATGGGATTTTAACAGTACTGGGAATGGAAGATAGGGGCATTTTACCACTGAGCTACATCCACTGCCTTTTTGTTTTTTGAGTGTCTTATTAAGTTGCCAAGACTGGCCTTGAATGTGTAATCCTCCTGCCTCAGCCTCCTCAGTCACTGGGATTACAGTCATAAAACACCACACCCTTTAATTTGCTTTTAGCTTTTCTGTACCTGAGTCACTTTCTTCTTACAAAGAAACCTTGATGATTAAATATTTAATTAATTCTTTAATAAGTTAAACAGATGCATGTCAGAATCACAAATATGGAGTCCCCAAATATGCATGCATATTTACCATCTCAAAGTATTCCACTAAATTTGTGAGCTACATCAACAAATCTAGCTATTTGACAAAGTGTCCCATTTTACCAGATTTCCAACACATGGCAGCAGTTTCAGTTTGACCTTGAATATCCTTTACTTTGGGATATACTCAGATCTTCATTATTTCTGAAGCATGCATGCTCCCGACACTTTCACTGAGTTTGATAATAGAAGTTACTGATAAAATTGCTTTGAAAATTAAAACTAAATACTAAAAGGGATAGAGACTTAAGGAACTTGTATTATTTAAAGCATGTGTTGAACTAATAAAATAAGCCCCAAAAAATGTAAATCTAGTTGAAGCAATATTATAATTAGTAAGCTTTTTCTATAACCTTGGAAGTACAGCATTTAATGCTTATTTGAAATTGTTCATATAAATTTTAGTCTGTACAATCATGGGATAAAAAGTAAACGGCCACATTTACAGCATTTTATTACAAGTTCAGTATTTTGTTATGATAAAATAGCTAATATTCCCTTATAAGGGCACTTTAAAATATAAAGAAATCTTTCCTTGTGTGCTCAAAGCCCTGGATTCTGTACCCAGTACCACAAAATGAAAATATTGATTTTCTATGATATAATTTTTTCCTTCTAAAAATAATTTATTCTGTAATTATCTATTTGTTAATTCCCTTATAACAACGTAAAACTTCATCTGGTACAGTATAGTAATGTTACTTATATTTAAATACCTTGGTTCCTTATTGGGTAGCACTGGGGGAAAATTAAAAACTTTTAATTCAGTTCCAAATATATTAAAATTTAATTAAATTAGTTTATCAGTAAAATTATTTTGTAGTTACAGAAATCAGACTGCTGATTACTTGGGAGAGAGCACGGACTAGAGATTGGTGGTAATGGGACATGAGGGAACTTTCTGGGTAGATGTAAATATTCTTTATCTGCATTGTGACAGTGGTTACTTGAGTATATATTTTGTTGTCAGTCATTAGAATACACAGCTAAAATTGGAATTTACTCTTTAGTGAAGTTGATTTTTTTTTAATACTTTAGCCAAAAGAGGTGAGTTGTGCATACACAGATTTTAAAATGATGATTGTCATGCCTGTAATCTCATCAACTCAGGAGGCTGAGGCAGGAGGATTTCAAGTGTGAAGCCAGCCTGGGCAATTTAGTGAGAACCTATTTAATATTAAAATTTAAATGTACTAGGGATGTAGCTTTGTGGTAGTGTATCCCTGAGTTCAATCTTCAGTATCTCAAAAATAAAAATACTGATTTAGCCTGGATAAACTTTGTTTTAAAATATTTTGTTTTAGCTATAATTGGACACAGCGCCTTTTTTTTATGTGTTGCTGAAGATCGAACCCAGCACCCCGCATGAGCTAGGCGAGAGCTCTACCACTGAGCCACAACCCAAGCCTGGATAAACTTTTAATTGAGAAATTGTTTAAAAGTACATGTTTTATTGTCTATTACTTACTAAAATGTAGGTTAAACCTGTTTCTAATTTGACATCCAAAATCTGTTGCATGAAATGTTGTTAACTAGGGTAAAAAAAAATTGACTTTGGTAAGAGTTTTCAGGATTCTATGTTTTCTTACATTATACATTTGTTAGTTTTAAGTCTAGTAAACTTTTTGTTAAAAACTTAGCTGAATCAGTAAAATAGCATTAGCCAACCATGATAACATTTTCTGTTACATGGCAGACAAAAATTAGGTCAACTGAATGTCTCAAGGTACAAGTTTAAACACCAGACCTGCCTGCTTACAAATGTTAAAATTTTTTTGACCATTTACTCCATTTATATAATGACAATTATCTTTTCATGCTTTAACTCTCAATAGAGTAGCTAAAACAAGTACTTTTCTAGGGACAGTAATTTAGTACAACATAGCTGGAAATGTGAAACATGGTTTCATCCTACATTTTTAGAAACTGGAGAGATTTACTAAGTCTTTTCTGAATAAGTTTTAGTTTACTAGTCCTTGAATAATTCTACATAAGGCATTATACAGTGAGACGATCCAAGAGTATATATAAATGTCTATCAAGATTAATTTTTAAATGTAATTATCTAAGTAACAATATAAGTTGTGTATTATATTACAGAATTTTAAGCCTGTAAAGAGCCAAATTTTTTGTGATTAACCTTATAAAGAACTAAATATCATCTAAGCTTTATTACTGGATTAAATCGCATGATACCATTTATCTCCAAAGTTCATAGGTGGTTACCATTTAGATTATCCTTTGAATTATGATGCTTTATCATCTATGTAAGAATACTTATTGAGTCTAATGGTTGTATTTATAAAGTAAAATCTGTTTACAGCAATGTCACAATTACTAAACTTTTCTGTAACTTTATAATTTTATAGCATTTAATACTGGTTTGAAATTGTTATATAAATTAAGTTTGTACAACCATGGGGTAAAATGTAAACAACTGCACTCTTAGGAAGATACTAAAGTAGAGGATATATTTACAGTGTCGTCTTTCAAATCTAGCTATGCTGTAAACTGATGTTTGCTGTATGCTCCTCCTGATTTGAAATAGATGAAAGAAAATGAACCTATTATCACCATGGTTCACACAATGATTGAGAACTCGGCGCTAAGACCACAACTGTACCAGCAAGTAAGGTCTTGGACAGTGAATGATACTGCTTTGTCATCTGCAAAATACCTCAGTGACAGTTTTGGTTTATCCTCAGATTTACTCATAACATCAGTGTTTTTCTTATTTTATTTCTTATTTATGTTTATTTGGGAAACCACACTTCATCCATGCTTTTCAAGATGCTGCAGTATTCTTAGCATGGCTTTGCTGAACATTTTGCTGTTGAATATTAAGTGTGCCATCTTGCTAAAGTTTTTGTGTAGAGTATTTGATTGATATGTACTTGGAGGTCTGCAGTACATTTACAAAACTTTTACTATATTTCCATATTTTTACTAACTGAAGACATCACAACTGATTTTTAGAGAAAACGCTTTATAAAATTGTTTTCTTTCAAAGGCAGCCCCCAAAACCTCCCTCGCTCCCAGTGTTTCAGTGCATTTGTATGGAAAGTATTTAAATCATGCTAGATAGTACTATGCTAGATGGGTTAAAACCTAAAGATAGCTATTTCTTAATATATTGGGGTATCTTCTCCCTGTATAATCAATCATTTTTACACAGTCATTAGAATAATCATATCTTACCCCATTTCTTTTCTCTGACTCAAAATATGTGTCATGGAGTTAGCTGGCTTTAATTTAGGAATCTTGGTAATCTGCAGATCTGCAAAAGAAGTCATACACATTTCTATCTAGTTGGGGTTTTTTGTTTGTTTGTTTTGTTTTGTTTCGTTTTGTATTTCATAGTCTAAATGTTCCTAGCCATGTGTTTCACAACATCAGCTTCTTTCACTTCAGCACTCTCAGATTACTCTGGCCTATGACGTATTATAATACTTGAAAATCATACAGAAGAAGAAAATTAACTAACATGAAAAATGAATATAGATTTTGATTTAAATATCTAAAAGCACCTAGTAAAACGAATAATTTGAGCTCTTGCTAGTTCTAAAGACCTGGTTTGGTTCTGTCTTTGGGGTCTACATCGTGGTGCCTTTTAACTGGGAGATTGATACTGTTGGTGAGAAGGTGACTTCCATTTTTGAGACCAGTTTCAGAATATTTAAAGCACATATTATGTATGATTGAAAATGGTCTTTGTTTTGCAATAAATAAATTATTAGATATTTAAAGTTAAACAGCTTTACTTTTCAAAGAAGAAAAAGAAGATTACAGAACCTCATTGCTTCATTCTAAAGTGCCACACTGAGAACCTTAGCACTTTTTGTGAAATTGATTGTTCATTTTAAGAACCCAAAGCTGCTGAGAGTATTTATATGTGTGTGTTTATGCATGAGGTTATTTGTTTGTTTTTGGTGGTTCTAGGGAATGAACTCAGGGGTGCTCTACCACTTAGCTACATTCCTAGCCTGTTTTATGATTTTTATTTTTTTTATTTTTTTAAGAACAAAAATAGAACCAAGCATGACAGAACATACCTATAATCCTAGCAGCTCAGGAGACTGAGGCAGGAGGACTATAAATTAAAAGCTAGCCTCAACAACTTAACGAGGTCCTAAGCAACTCAGTGACACCCTGTCTTTAAATGAAAATACAAAAAAAGGGGCTGGGGATGTGGCTCTGGTTAAGTGCCCCTGGATTCAATCCCTGGTACAAAAAAATTAAAAATTAAAAAAATAGGCAGTTTAGGCTCTCACTAAGTTGCTGTTTGGCTTCAAATCTGTGGTCCTCCTGCCTCAGTGTCCCAAGTCACTGAAATTATAGATGTAGGCCAGTACATTCAATGCATTCTATAAAATGATATATTTTAGCATTAAATTGGTATGTGATCAAAAGGCGTTTTTTTAAATAGGTAATTTTTTTTTCCCACTGTGCTGGGGATCAAACTCAGGACTTAGCACATGGTAGTCAAATGTTCTACCACTGAGCTACATCTCCAGCCCAGTAGGTAATATTTTCATGTTCACATTTTGCATATTTTAGAAAAGAACAAAAAGATTGGATTTTGTTTGGCTTGTTTATTTTTTCCATTTTATATTTATCAATATTCAAGGTTGATGATGTAAAAGTCATTAATGATTTAAGTTACTCCACTGCACTAAAAGTTCTAATTGAAGTTTTTCAAAAATATGGAGATGTCTGAGATATCTGAAAGCATCACAGACCTTGAATACTAAAAGAGCAATGGGTTTGTATAAAATACACATGTTCATATTAATGCTTGAAAGGAAAGAACTAGGATTGCAGAAAACAAGAAGACCCAAATACCTTAGATCAGCAGCCGTGCCTAGGCATAGCTAATCAATCAGGAAATCAGTGTTAACTGTCAAGCTTAGGGACTCTACAGACTGTTACTTTTAATCAGCAACTAGTAAAATGACACTTATTGCAGGGCATCCTTAATGGAGAAAAGTGATACACTTCTTAAGCTCTGTTCATAAATTTGCACAAATTGAAATTAGATCTTATTTTTTTCCTCCAAAATTTTCTTGTCACTTATAACTTGTCCTAAAAAACCTTCATGAAAGTTTATATTGCTGTTACAATTTGCTTTTCTGAGATTGCATTACAATGTTGTTTTGATAGATTCCTGATATTTAACTGGGAATACTGTGGCAACATATTTTGTGATCTGTTTTCCAAATCATGGACCACTCAGTGTTTTCCTCAGAAAGACCTTTATATTTTCATTTTTTTCCTTAGGAAATACTGAGAAATTACATAAGCAGTAATTTTTTTTTAAATTAGCCAAATAAAAAGGACTTAAAAGTGAATGTTAAATGACTTAGCATCAAGTTGAAAAAAAAATCCTCTGCATTTATCAATCCTTCTAATTAGATTCTAGTTAGATTTTTCTGCCCTCATCTTTATAACATGATTAATATCAACGAAGTTACTCCCCTGATGAATAAGTGTTCTAAAAGATTATAGATGTATCAGCAAACACCTATAGTCATGTAAACAGTTTTTAGCTTTTAGTGAGTATAATGTCTAATTTTTTTAAATTTAATTTAAAAATGTTTCCCATAAAATCCTTCTTGGAGTTTATATGTGTATTCATATACTGATTCATATACTGTGTGTGGGTGTGTTTCACAAATGTAAGGGATATTGAAGAAGTTGAATTTTAATTAACATAAATAATTTTGTTTGAACTTAATGCCAAGCCAGTTTTTAAAAATACATACATTGGAAGGGCTTGGAATATAATTCAATATAACACCTGCTTAGCATGCATAGTACCCTAAGTTTGATCCCTAGAACAGTAAAAAAAATAAGAAAAAGGGCTGGGGATGTGGCTCAAGCGGTAGCGCGCTTGCCTGGTATGCGTGCGGCCCAGGTTCGATCCTCAGCACCACATACAAAGATGTTGTGCCTGCCGAAAATTAAAAAATAAATATTAAAATTTAAATAAAAAAAGAAAAAAAAGAACAAAAACTAAATAAATATTTATTTTATTTTTTTTAATATTTATTTATTTTTTTAGTTATCGGCAGACACAACATCTTTGTTGGTATGTGGTGCTGAGGATCGAACCTGGGCCTCATGCATGCCAGACGAGCGCGCTACCACTTGAGCCACATCCCCAGCCCTAAATAAATATTTAGATACTTAGTTATTATTATATATTCTCACATATCCTTATAGAGTCAATAAAGTCTATATATGATACACCCACCCTTGTCCCCCAGTACTGGAGATTGAACACTGAGCCTCATCCCTAGCCCTTTTTAAATTTTTTTTTTTTTTTTGAGATGGGATCTCACCATGTGCTACAGAACTCCCCAAGTTGATGATGCTGAACTTGAAATTGCAATCATTTTGCCACAACGTTCCCAGTCACTAAGATTACGTGCATGCACTAACACATCTAGCCCACTTTTCAAATTTGAAAGAAGTTTGCATGCTATTCAGATTTATTTAATTACTATATAGCCCCCCTTTTCCCCCCCTCATTTGCTTGTCTGATGCTTCTAAGGCACTTTAAACAATGTATTCAAACCAGACCTTTTTTTTCTTGCCAAAGATGAATTTGAAATACAATAAAATGGGGCTGGGAGTGTAGCTCAGTGTTAGACTGCTTGCCTAAGGCCCTAGGTTCAAACCTCCAGCATAGTAAAAGAAAAATTATAAAACATTATCATAACTCAAATATGCAAAACTTAAGAGAAATATTAATCAGAATACTCATGAAATTTACATTTCTCTTACTAGTTAAAAAATTGTATTGAGGAAAATTTGGTTGCTAGTTTCATAAGTTATACCCCATCTTTTCTTAAGGAAAGGGTAAGCAATTATTATCAGGAATGGAAAATATACCATACTTTAAAAATTTTTGTTTTCTTGTTGTTATATTGTTTTGAGATAGGGTCCTGCTATGTTGCTAAGGCTGGGCTCAAACTTGTGATCCTCATGCCTCAGCTTCCAGAGTAGCTGGTATAACATGCATACACACTATGCCTGACAGAAGTTAACTTTTTAAAGAATAGTCTTATTTTCTTATGCTTTTCTTCTAATGCGTGAAAATAGTATGTAGTTGAAGGTTGATTGGTTTAAGGACTTATTTTAATTGGTATCTAATAAATGCCTTTATGGGATAAATTAATAAAATGTTTAAGGAAATTTTTCATTAGTACTAAAAATAGAGGTACAAGAAAAATATATTTGATGTTTTATGTGTAATGTATTTATATGGCTATAAGGACATTTCACTCAGAAGTGGTAAATGCACAGCAGACTTTTTTTGTATTACTTGCCAACTGATAAGAAAATGAATCTGCAGTAAGATTCCTTAAATATAAATACTATAACAAGCTGAGCATTGTGGTTTACACTTCTAATCCCAACCACCTCTGGAGACTGAGGCAGGAAGACCGAAAATTTGATGCCAGCGTGGGCAACTTAGTGAGATCCTGTCTCAAAACAAAAAGTGCTAGGGATGCAGCTCAGTGGTTGAGCAACTGTCTAGCATGTGTGATGCCTTGCATTGGATCCCAACACTGCAAGAAAGAATAGTATACCAATTTCCTAAATACTATTTGCTACAAATTAATACATTTCCATTTTAATAGTGTTTTTTTCTTTTGACTCTGGGATACAGAATACAATTCATATTTTAACGTAGAGATAGCATTGGTCATTTGTTATGTTCAAATTCCATAGAGTAAAGCTGTTTAACATTTAACTTTAAATTTAACAGTATATTAGGACATCATAATAGCTTAAGGCCTTTTAAGATGCTTAAATTCATGATAAAAAGTGAGATGGCCAAAATTACATTTTTTATATTAATAAGAAATTAAAGATCAAACTTATTTTTTAATTAAATTTTTTTAGGTAGAGGTATAAATTCTTTTCTTGAGACTAGGTGCTTTAATTTAGAACAACAATTGACACTTATTGGGACATTATTGGATGATCTTTATTTAACATAGTATGCAAGTATTCTCATTTTTGCCATTAAATTCATTTTTCATGTAATGTTCTTTTCTATGGAAGTTTTGTGCTTTAACAATCACTGTGCATATCCTTAAATAGTCGCAGGTTCATTTGCATGAGGTATGTGAAAGTAATGTCTTGAAATGAAACATGTAAATCTAGGATTTATTCTGTGTTTGGAGTGATTTATATTTTTTTTACCTTCTGATCCCCACATTCTGGACCCATTCAGAGTTATCTGCTGCTTAAATTATGCCTACATTTAAAGATGTAACTATTAAGAAGTTTTTTACAGAGGGGACATACATTGTTTTTATACATTCTGATGCATCTATGTAGGTACATATGAAATTTATTTTCCAAACTAGATCATACTTGGGTCATATTATTTCTGTCACCTTCTTGAGAAAAAGTGAGCCACAGTTAAATTTTTCCTATGTTTTTATTACTGTCTAGCTGTCAATATAAATTCAAAAGACAAGAAAGATATCGAAATATTGCCTACAGAGGGTATGGTGTGATTTCTGGTAGAACTGTCTTGAGAAGAGTATTAAAATCTTGATAAGCAAAATCATAAATGAGGATTTGTGTTACCAAAAGATACTTAGAAGAAGCTGAACAAAGAATATTTATATAAACTAATAATTTCTTACAATATAATAATATAAATGGTATCAACCAACACATATAAACTTTTTAAAATTTGATTATCCACTGTTTGTAACATACACTTTCAGTGTTGTGAGATCTTAAATGATTTTGTCTTCAATTAAACCCATCCTTTTCCTCCATTATCTTTTAGTTCTTAAGACAGAAGAACAAGATAAGTCTATATTGTGTATGTGTGCTTATATATTATGTATATGTATAAAATATGTTATAGACTTTGTTACTAAAGTTGTACTCAGATGTGTTGGCATTGAGTGTACAGTACACATACACTGTGTGATTATGTGTATACTGTGAAGGATGCTTTTGACTGTTTTACTATGCCTGTTTTGAATATTTGATTTGATACAGTTAATATGATTGTATTTGTCAATTTTTTATTAAAATAATGTTTGTCTTTAAAATGGAAAATGTAAGTTGCTGTATTAATTTTGTTTGGCCAGCTGATTGTTTGACAAACTTAAGTTAGCATCATTCTGTTAAGTATTTTTCTACTACTGTAATAGTCTAGTGTTTGAATTCAACTTATAAAAGTATAAGAATCATTAAAATCCCACTTTTGTCATACTGTTATATATTTAACTTAAATATAAAGTATTAGCTGTAGACTAAATATATTTTTGTATGATTTTTAAGTTTGTATATGGTGTTTTTTTCTTACAGCTATCACAAGATGAATGTAGAGGCACATTATATAAATACAGACCTGAAGAAATAGATATTGATGTAAGTATTACTATGATATATACTGATGCTGTGTCATATTCTGTGCCAGAATATTGGAAATAAGCATGATGCAAAACCTTCTTCTTCCCGGGTTCTCTAAAATAACATCAAACAAATCAGTATTATTTCTCTGTTGCACTTACATTACTGCTACCTACTACCCACTGTCCCCTGATAGGTAGTAGTTGAACATATTAAGGATCACTTAAATGAAAATTTAAAAATAATTACTGATTTTTTTTTTTTTTAAAAAACACAGGTGTGGAAAACGGGAGAGTTACTATCTTCTAGAGAAAGTATTAGCCTCTGGAAGTTTCATCGCTGTTTCTTTTTAAATTATATTTTGTCTCTGTTAAATCATACTCTAGGTTGCTGATTTGCCATGTAATTTTCCCTCACTTCTCCTGGTTTTATTCCATTGAGTTTGTCTCCTTTTCATTTTAATACCTTCTATTTGATATAGCTTGAGTCTTGTCTAATAAAGATAAGGTAGTTATTTTAATAGATAAAGGACAAAGAAGGTCAAGTATCAAATTTCTTGCTTACCTGTCATTATACTATAAACTTTGGGCCATATTTTCTGATTATCCACATTTGTTTTGAGACATTAGGAGAATCGATTTATTGTACTGTAGAGTACTTTCTCATATTATCATTAAATTAATTTAAAAGATTTAAACTACATTGTGTGGTGGTGCAGTGCCTGTAATCCCAGCAACTCAGGAGGCTGAGGCAAGAGGATCATATGTTGAAGGACAGCCTGAACAACTTATCAGGACCCTTTCTCAAAATAAAAAGTAAAAAAAAGAAGGGTTGGGGATGTAGCTTAGTAGTAGAGAACCCTGGGTTCAATCCCCAGTGTTGCGAAAATAAATACATACATATGTACATACATACATAAGATAAAAAAATTAAAAATAATAAGTTTAAACCTGGGGATGTAGCTTAGTGGTAGAGTACATGCTTAGCATGCCTGAGGTTCTGGATTCTATTCCCACTCCCCCCAAAAAAACACATTCAAACTATTAAAAGTAATTTTTCTTCATAAACAATATTTTTACTTGTATTATTACATTTAAGAACTGCATATATCCCTTACCCTATAGGTCAGATTACAGTGGTGGAGAGTTAGAATTTTTAGACTGCTTGATTACCAAAGATAGTTTGAAATATGTAAATTAGACAGGCACTGGGTTCACTCTTGCAATCCCAGTTACACAGGAGGATCGAAAATTCAAGGCTAGCCTCCACAATTGAGAAGACCCTGTCTCAAAAGAAAAAAAAAATGAAAAGGGGTGTGGATGTAGCTCAATGATACTTAAAGTAACTTCAATCCACAGTACTGTGGAAGGAAGAAAAGAGAAATATTTAAGTTTAGTATGATTGAAATACTTGTCTACTTACTTTGCATGATTTGTTTCGTTGTGATACTGGGGATTTAACCCAGGGGTACTTTACCATTTAACTTCATTCCCAGCCCTTTTTGTTTTTTATTTTGAGACAGGGCCTAGACTTGAACTTATGAGCCTCCTATCTCAGCCTCCTAGTTGCTGACACTACAGGCATGTGCCAGCACACCCAACATATTATTCTATTTTTATAAACTGTATTTTAATTTTGATTGTATTAAAGAAAATTAACCCAATTTAGCATTTCATGGCTGCTTTAAATGGGTACCTACCTTCAGCTAATTACATGAAACATTTTTAAATTTCTCTAACAAAAGACATCTCTTACAACTCAGGCCAAGTTAAGCCGATTATGTGAACAAGATAAAGTGGTACATGCACTGGAAGAGAAACTTCAGCAACTCCACAAGGAGAAAGTAAGACAATTATGTTTATTATCTACAATCAATGTTATTTTATGTGATTATTATCAAGACAGTAATGAGTAAAAAAAAAAAAAACTAATTCAATGATGCAGAACATTAAGTGTGATTCTTTTTATTAGTACACGCTTGAGCAAGCTTTGCTGTCAGCCAGCCAAGAGATAGAAATGAACGCAGATAACCCAGCAGCCATTCAGACAGTGGTATTACAGAGGGATGATTTGCAAAATGGACTGCTTAGTACATGTCGAGAACTCTCTCGAGCCACTGCTGTAAGTAGATTTTTTTTTTTTCCCCTGGTAGGAGTCTTTGAAATATTATGCAGTTCTTTTTTTCTTTGCTCTGCTATTAGTTGTGGTGTCTTTAGGATCACTCTTTATTATTATAACAAGAAATATTAATTTCTTAATATTAACTATGTTTAGGAACATAAAGAGTGACCTTTATTTCTGTAGGTATCTTATTCTTAATGACATGGAAGTTTTACAGAAAAGATAGGTACTCCTTTTTTACATATTATGCAACCAAAAAAATTCTTTAAATAAGTTAAAATTAATTGCATGAGGAAAAAAATACATTGTGAATTTTAGGGGATTTAGGATAATTTCCTGAAGGTGGTAACTAAACTCACCCACCCATTTCAGTAAAAATAAAATTCAAGCCATTTCAACAAAAAGCCTTGCGGAAAGATTATAAGAAAGCATCCCTTTCATAGCTGCAATGTGATCTAAATTTAGATAAATTGAATAAGAAAAATGATTGGCAAAATTATTAACCCTTAGGGGCTGGGGCTGAGCTCAGCGGTAGCGCACTTGCCTGGCATGTGTGAGGCACTGGGTTCGATTCTCAGCACCACGTAAAATAAATAAAGGACTATCAACAACTAAAAAAAAAAAAAAAAATTATTAACCCTTAGTCTTAGAATTTCAGGAGAGTCTCTTGGGATTACCAAATCTAAAAAGTCCTGAGTGTTTGTAAACTGAGTTTATAAATTGAGGTTTTGTTTTTGTTTTGTTTTGTTTCTATCTATGATGCAATCATCTCTAATCATAGCTAGCAGCCTTTTGCAGAATTTCTAAGAGAAACATTGTTTAAAGTTTGACTTGGTGGGAAGGGGCATTTGGTTTTTGTTTTCTTAAGGTTTGTTATTTTGTTGCTTTTTGTTATTGTTGTTTTTTAAGAACCAATCCCAAGCATAATCAGTTTTAATTAGCTTTTTCATTGCTCTGATTAAAATACCCAGCAAGAACAACTTTGAAGAGGAAAAGTTTATTTGGGGCTTACAGTTTCAGAGGTCTGTCCATAGAGGCTGACCCTATGGCTCTAGGCCCAAGGTGAGGCAGAACATCATGGGAGATGGACCCAGTGGAGGAAAGCTGCTCAGCTTATGATGGGGTCAGGAAGCAGAGAAAGAGATGAAGAGGCCACGGGGAAGATGAACCTTTCCCAGGCATGTCCCCACTGACCCACCACCTCTAGTCATGCCCCACCTGCCTACAGTTAACCACCCAGTCAGTCTATTCAAACTAGAAGGGATTAATTAGGTTACAGCTCCCAATAGCTAATCATGTCACCTCTGAATAGTCTTGCCTCAACGCATTAGTTTTCAGTTGCCATTATATCCAAACCATAACATTCTGCCTCTGACCCCCAAAACCTCATGTCCATCTCACTATGCAAAATGCATTCAGTTTATTTCCAAGAGTTTCATAATCTTTTAACATTGCCCAAATGTCCAAATTCAAAGTCTTCTCTGAGACTCAAGGCTAACTCCTGGCAGTGAGTTCTTGTAAAAACCAAAAGCAAGTTCCATATATTCAATATACAGTGGCACAAAATAATATTCCCATTCTGAAAGGGAGGAATAAAAGCATAGAAAGAAGGGATGGTGCCAAAACAGGACCACAACAACTGCTGGGCTTGGTTTCCTATGTCTGTGTAGATCATGTAGGACACTTGGCTGTGAAATATCATTTACAAAGGGTATGGGTATTCCTGCCCGTTTGGCCTTGCAAGTTGTGGTGCACGTGCGCCTTCAGTATGGGCCTTTCTACAGCCAGCAGCTTTTCTCAGCAGACAATCCATATTACTGGCATTTCTTAATTCCTGGGGTCTCCATTCCAACTTTGATTTCACCTATATAATTTCACACATCACCGTCTCGGAGAAAGGGCAGCCCTCAAGGACTCAGACCCTGCTATACTTTGGCCTCCCAGACCTTCCTTTGAAATTTTGGTGGAAGCTTCCATGATCACTTTTAACTTTAGCATCTTGCATTCCTGCAGAACCAGCACCATTTGGATGATACCAAACTCTGCTTCCAGCTTGCACAATTCCTTGGCCCCCTGGAATCAGAGCTGCAGGGGCTTCTGAGTACCCATAGTGCTGAATGAAGGGAAGCAACTTCCTAACCACCACCATTTTTCCTATTGTCTGTACAAGAACTTAGCGTCTCTTTAGGAACTATAAACTCCTAAAGCACCCTTCCTTGGCCCCAACTTTATATGTACTTTTCTGGCCAAGCTGCAATTTTTAAATCCTTTAGCTGTGTTCTTTGCACCACTTTCTCATAGTAAAGCTGCTAGCAATATCCATGCCACTGACTGAATGCTGTGCTTCCTTGAAATTTCCTCCAGCAGATTAATCAGTCCATCGCTTTTAAATTCGGCCTCATAAAGTCTCAGGATATGGGCAAAATGTGGCCAAGTTCTTTGCTAGAATATAACACAAGTGACCTCTAGTCCAGTTCTCTTTGACATCTCTTGAATTCAGTCCCCATTCCTGTTGGCATTCTATTCTTCTGAGCTCTCCCCAGAATTGCCCAATTTGCTCTACTAAGAGCATTCTACATCATGGCAGAAAACTGCAGTGATAGAAAGCTGCTCGCCTCATGACAGTCAGGAAACAGGGAGGGAGGGAAGGAAAGAGGAACCTAGGGACAATACATACTCTTCCAGTGCACAGTTCCAAGGTCTTAACTTCTTCCAACATTCCCTTCTGCCTGCAGTTTCCAGTAGTCCATTCAGCTATCATTGAATTAGAGCATTGAAGAGGTCTCTGAGATCCCTCATGATGCAGTCACTTCCCCACAGCTCCACTTCTGAACATTGCAGCACTTCTTAACAAGCCTTCAACACAAGACTTTGGAGGATATTCTAGATCTACACTATAACAGAAAGAAAAAAGGGCTAGGTTTAGTGGTATACCCCTATAATCCCAGCAACAGGGGCTGAGGTAGGAGGATCCTAAATTCATGATAAGCCTGGGGCTGGGGCACAGTGGCACATGCCTGTAATCCCAGCAGCTCAGGAGGCTAAGGCAGGAGGATCATGAGTTCAAAGCCAGCCTCAGCAACAGTGAGGCATTAAGCAACTCAGTGAGACCCTGCTCCTGAAATCAATCCCCAGTACTCCCACCCAAAACAACGACAACAAAAAAGAGCCTGGGCAACTTAGGGAGATTGTCTAAAAACAGAAAATAAAATAAAGAAGAGGCCTAGATATATATATAGCTCAATGATAGAGTGCCCCTGGGTTAAATCCTCCAGAGAAAAAAAAGAGAGAGAAGAGGGATTAAACTGTCACTGCCAAGCTAATTAAAAACTCATTGTCATCCCTAAAACAACCTGAATTAAATCAAAATGGTGAATGGTATTGACATTTAGTTGGAAACTCTTTAGTGATATTCTTGAAATACCATGTGTGCATGTTACCGAGAATTAAACCCAGGGGCCTTCTCCCACTGAGCTGCACTCCTCCTCAGGGTCTCTTTAAACTGCTGGTGCTACCCAGAATTTGTGATCCTCCTGCTTCAGCCTCCTTGGTCCCTAAGGTTATAGGCACTTGACTGAAATATGAATTTTAGAAAATTCCATCCTTAGCAACTGAATTTCAGAACTTAAATCTCATCATTAAGCTTAGAACTTGTTCTATCCCAAGGTTAACTCCAATATACTGATGGGTAGTTTGTCAAAAGTGCTTTTGGGTTTTTTGTGTTTTTTTTTTTTTTTGTCTTGTTTTGTTTACTCAATCATGTAGAAGTAGGGAATGAACCCAGGAGTGGTGCTCTTTACCATCCCCCCAGCTCTTTTATTTTTTATTTTTATTTTTAGGTTTTTTTTGTTTGTTTGTTTTGTTTTTTTTGAGACAGGGTCTCACTAAGTGCCTCAGACTAACCACAAACTTGGATCTTTCTTCTCCAGCCTCCCCTTGTTAGAAATGCTTTAGTAGAAATTAATATTGTCTAAGGACCTCTTTTTTAGGTTGTTATCCTATAAAATCACTCTCCTAATTTTTTTTTTCCTTGCCTTTAGCATTTATCAGTGGTTAGGACAACCTCTCCTTTATGTAAACTTATTTGTAACTTAATACTACAAATACTAGTATGCACCTAATATATTGGGCATATGGTTGGCACTCAGTGAATTTGATTAGATGTAAATTTGAATTACATTTAGGCTGGCGGAATCTCAAAAGGTTCCTATGATTCTTTCACAGTTCATGACATTTCTTCAAATCTAAACCCCTGGCATAGAGGATAACATTAGAACCCCCACAAATCAAAGCCTCAATTCTGAAAACATATCCTCACCTAGTCATCCGTGAAGGTTAACATAATGTGAGCACCAAAGCAGTGCTCCCTGTACATTTTATTTAACCTTGTGTGTGTGTATGTGTGGTACTAAGGATTAAACTCAGGGGCACTCACCACTGAGCTATATCCCTATCCCTTTCTATTTTGTATTCTGAGACAGGGTCTTACTAAGTTGCACAAGCTGACCTCAAACACATTGTGATCATCTTGTAGTACCTCCTGAGCTGCTGGGATTACAGGCATAGGCCACCACACTTGGCTTATTTCATTTCATTCTTGATGCCACATCTCCCCTTCTTAAGCCCCATCCAGCTGAGCATGAGGAACTGTCTTGAAATAAATTAAAAGGAGGGGCTGGGATAGTAGCTCAGTGGTAGAGCACTTGCCTAGTATGTGTGAAGCCCTGGGTTTGATCCCCAGCACCACATAAAATAAATAAACAAAATAAAGCATTGTGTCCATCTACAACTAAAAAAATATATATTTTTTAAAAAAATAAATAAATAAAAAGGAATGGGGATGTGCCTCAGTGATAAAAGTACCCCAGAGTTCAATCTGTGGTACCAAAAACAAAAAAGCAACCTAAATCCCATCTATGACACATGTGCTTTAAGAACATAGTGCCTTTCTGTTTTCTCTTTGCCTTTACCTTTTTTTTTTGTTTTAATCTAAGTCTGAT